GGGATTCCAACTTTTTTTTTTTTTTGAGATAAGAATCTCACTCTTGTTGCCCAGGCTGGAGTGCAATGGTGTGATCTCGGCTCACTGGCAACCTCCACCCTTCCTGGGTTCAAGCGATTTCTCCTGCTTCAGCCTCCCGAGGCAGAGCTGGGATTACAGGTGTGTTGCCCACCATGCCCAGCTAATTTTTTTATTTTTAGTTAGAGATGGGTTTCACCATGTTGGCCACTGTCTCTTGAGCTCCTGGCTCAGATGATCTGTCTCCTTGGCCTCCCAAAGTGCTGGGATTATAGGCATGAGCCACTTTGCCGGCCTTGGTTTAAAACTTGAGTGTGTACACTAGCAGCTGTGGCACTGCCCCCCCCAACCTTGGTAAATGATTTGCCATTGTTGAGTTTTTGCTTGGTGCATCACGTACATCAATGCTTCACTGTCTCTCCACCTGGGAAGCACTCTTGTTATCCCTTTTTTTTTTTTTTTTTTTGTTGAGACAGAGTCTTGCTCTGTTCGCCCCGGCTGGGGGCAGTGGCCGGATCAGCTCACTGCCAGCTCCGCCTCCCGGGTTTAGACCATTCTCCTGCCTCAGCCTCCCGGAGTAGCTGGGACCAACAAGCGGCGCCCACTCGCTTTTTCTCTGGTTTGCGCCCGGCCTATCCCATTTTTAAAAATTTACAAGTCTCCATTATGCCCCAGAAACTCTTGTTATCCCATTTTACAGGTGAGGAAACAGGTGTGGAGAGGCCAGGTGCTTGGCCAGGGTAGCACTAGGCAGGGATAAAGCCGGCTGGCGGCTCCAGAGTCTGTGCCCTCTCCACCTAAAGTTAAGAAAGCAACAGTTACAGAGAAGTAATAGGCAGTGTTAATATCGGATGAACTGGAATGAATGGGCCACAATCATATTTACAATGTATGCTAATACAGTTCTGCAATGACTGTCACAGTTATGAAGCTTTGCTTTCCCAAGTAACATGCTCGCTAGGCATGAACCAAAAGCAGCTGGGCAGAGCACTGGAGTGCAGTGACAAGCTCCTGTCTGTGACAGATCATTGACTAAAGATCATGTGATGAAAAGGTGACCTGGAATAGAGGCATCGCATCTCAGAATCAGTGAGCTGGATTTTGAGAACTGATGAGCAGATTTTGCCCATACATGTGCAGTGTGAGGGCGTGCAAGCAGTTGATACCTCACATACCGAAAGGATGGTATTTTATGTTTTCAAATTTTTTTCTTTTTTAAAAGAAGTCCCTGCAAGTAAGTGCAGGACCCAGAGAGGAGTTTAGTAAGGGAATGCCACGCTGCATTTTAGTACATTTTAAAACTTGATGAAATGACTCTCCTGCAAGCAGTACAAATTAGTGATGCTGACTCAAGGTAGAAAGCCTGAAAAGGTCTGTGGTCCATGGACCAAAGTGAGAGGTTGTCAGGCAGCCACCTCGTGGCTCCAAAGAGCTTGCGGCTCAAAGACTCCACAAAGAAAGGAAGCCACCCCATCTGCTCCCCAGAACCCACGTGGCCCAGGTGTGGGAATGAGGTGCAAGGAGCACCAGCCACTGTGCCAAGTACTTTGCAGGAGCGAGCGCAACATCAGGACAGCCCTGAGGAAGGCATCTCTTCATCTCTGCCTTCCACACTCAGAGGTGAAGCCTCTTGCCTGAGGGCTGCAGCTCCTACGCAGCAGGACTGAGATCAGAACCAGGCAGGTTCGTTCCAGAACCTGTAGCTTTCACCACTGTGCTGCAGCTAAACACAGAAAAAGGAAACACAGACCAGCTTCCCTCATGAATGGCAGTGCAGAGACCCTCAATAAAATCTTAGCAAGTAGAATCCAGCACGTAGGAAAAGAAGAGTCACCGACAGTGGCGTCCACCAGCAGTGAGAGGCTGGTTTTGTGTCAGTACATCCAGTCATACGCTAAGCCATACTGGTGGGTCAGAGAAGAACCTAGATAGTGAGTTTCACAGATGCTAAGAAGACATTTCACATTTAACATCCATTCCTGATAACAGCTCTTGGTCAAAGGGCTTAGTAACAGGGCTCTTTCCTTAACAGGATAAATGGCATCGTGTGTTAATAGCTAGCTACTGCGTCAAGGTAAAAGTGTGGGAGGCAGTCCCATTAAAACAAGAAAGATGAGGATGCCTCCAGCAGCTGACAGGGTAATCGGGCAGGAGGAACATTGGTGTCTGCTCAGGAGATGGAACAGCAGAAAGGCTTTGATGATTAAGAGGTACACTCAGTGAGCCGGCCCAGCACAGAGGTGCACGAAGACCACCAGCTTTTCTTGCCTAAGGACTATGGCCAAAGGGGAAAATACAATCAAGGAGATGTAAATAAAAGGAGAACTCTGGGGCCTAACCTCCAGGCATAACGTGTAATAAAAGCAGACTGGACTCTGGGAGAAGGCCAACGGACACCACCCAAGCTCTTCCAGGGAGAGGGAGAAAAAGCATGATTTTGGATTAAAAAACTTCAATACCCAAACATAGAGGGAGGGATGTTCCCAGTTTCACAACTCCTTTTTTTTTTTTTTTTTTTTTTTTTTGAGATGGAGCCTTACTCTGTCTGGGCCCAGGCTGGAAATGCAGCGGCATGATCTCAAGTTCACTGCAAGCCTCTGGCTTCTGGTTCAGTGATTCTCCTCGCTCAGCTCGAGTAGCTGGAACTACAGGCTGCCCTGCAGCGCACACCCGGCTAATTTTTGTATCTTTAGTAAGGAGCACGGAGTTTCACAGGCTCGCCAGGGCTGGTCTCGAACTCCTAACTCAAGTGATTCTGGCTGACCTAAGCCTCAAAAGTGCTGGGGTTACAACATGCAGCACAATGCCTGGCCCAGTTCACACGTTTAACATATGACACAGGTTAGGCAGGAGCTTCAGGAGAGGAGTTTGCCAGTTTGATCTTGAAGCTTGCCAGAACGCTAAACATCCTTGAGAGTCACGCCATAACATTTTTTTTTTTGAAAAGAAAATCAAATCAGGCAGAGGTGGGGCAGCGGACAAAGGTAAAGACATGTACTTTTTCAAATCGCTGAAACTCAAAAAAGTGTAGGGAGTTATGAAGATTGTAGCGGATAAAAGTGGGTCTCACTCCTATAATCCCAGCACTATGGGAGGCTGAGGCAGGTGGATCACTTGAGCCTGGGAGTTTGAGACCAGACTGGGCAATATGGCGAGACTCTGTCCAAAAAATACGAAAAAAAATTAGCCCAGCATGGTGGTGCATGCCTGTAGGTCCAAGGTACTCGGGAGGCTAAGGTGAGAGAATCACTTGAGCCCCAGAGGTGGCGGCTGCAGTGAGTCCTGATCATGCCACTGCACTATAGCCTGGATGATAGTGAAACCCTATCTTTTAAAAAATGTTTTTAATAAAAATAAAATGCTGCAGTCCTCGTTCAAAGGCAGGCCCAGGAAATAACGTGTAATGAAGGGAGTATTTGACATCAGTGGGGGACGGGGAGCTGGTGAGTAAATGGAGTTGGGAAATCTGGCTAAGTGGTTGCCGTTGGGGTT